CCAAGGTGGCAAACGAAGCAGAAACCACTGCCTTCAGACTGCACCATAAAATTGTTTCATAAGCCATCTATGATTTAAGAATCATACTGACAGCGATCGATCATTCCGTGCATTCTTCGTTTGGAGGAACTTATCTGTGAGATGAAAAACGTAGAGGCTATCTTGAAAATGTGTCGGAAACATCTAGAAATGCCAAAAAACCATTACACCATATTTCCGAGCAAATTTGGGTCCCTGAAAGGTTGGTCCGAATCACTTTCATAGTCTTGTGGGATCATCCGACAGGGTTTGATGTGACAAAAATGGATGACTTGGTGTCTGGCGTAAGTGCTCATTCGCACGTGATCAAAAGCTCATGCAGTGTCAGTAAAACCTGAGAATACACTGGTTTGGCACTGACCAGAAGTATTTCTTTTCATGTAGACTATAGCTTCACTCCACCGGCCGTTTTACACAGCACTGCAGGGTTACTTTCTTCTGTAAGTTTCTGTCAGTAAGGTAGAACCTACTACTTGATCAAACTTGAGTGACTCACATGACGGGGACTGGATTTTTGTACAAATGGAGTAGGTGTGGTCCCTGTTGATTGTGTCAGTTCTTGTTGCGGGTTCCGACGTCCCGGAATCAGAGGGGATTCGTTTCGTGAATAACTCAGTGTTGGTGGTTGGTTGGTTTGGTCTGAAGAATGCACCTCTGCCGCGACGACCATGGAGGTTTTCACGGGTACGGGAGGGACATTGGAGAGGTGGGTCTGTGGGAGGAACAGAAGCAAACGTCGTAATCAAATGTTTTTCTATCGCTATTTTATAATTTATACATAACATCGTGCATCTGAGGGGCGACGCTTTTCAGCTTTTCAAACCTACCGAAGCCTGACGCTAAATTTCATCCCACAAAAAATGTCTATCGATGCTGAGAAACCCAGAAAGGTTTCACAGTTGTTTCATCTTCGGTAGGATTGATGAAACTCTAAGACGATTCGTAGTCCACAATTACAGTTAGGTTTCAGAACACCCAGTTGTGAGCTGCTCGCCATTCGCGTAGGTTTCACTGATACTCCATCAAGGTATAAACTCGTTGTACTAACGGTATTGACTCAGCTCAGTTCTTGGTGTGAACCCTCCGAGATGGCGTTTTGTCAAACAGACCGGTAAGGGCGTAGTAAACGCCCAAAAATAGGCCAAAAACACGTATAACACATCCTATTTAAGATGTATGAAGCGACAATATTTTGGGAATTCCGACGCCTTCTGGACGCGACATTATCTACCGGTATTCGGTGGATGCTGAATCACCATTGGTTGTTGGGCCCAAACGTTCGGCCAATCAGAGCTTGCTTTCATGCGTGGCCTACAAGCGGCCGATCATCTGGCCAATCGTGTGCGGATAAGGTTTCTTGGCTATAGCACCACCTAACTCTGGCAGTAAAGCGGTTTTGATGCGGGATTCCGCCTAAGATCAATGGTGACCATCTTGTGGATTAGAAACTTCTCCAAGGAAAGTCCACGTGACCTGTGAATTTTTTTTAAATTATATGTTATGCAGTTAATTGGCAGATATGTGATGCTAGGTGAAGTGGATGAATGGTCTACAAAGTGTGGTAGGATTTGACAGTAATATTCAGAGCACGTTTCCCAGCAGAAACTCAATGAAGTCTTCTTGAGTTAAAAAGCGTAAAGGTTACATATATTTCTGTACGCTCAACTGTGTTTGCTCAACTTTGTCAGGTGTGGCTTCAAAAAGATGTCTGGCTTTGGATTGGTCAGTCCTTTTCCCAGGTTCCGAAACTTGGCCTCTCGTGGGAGGTAGAACTAATTTAACGACATTGTTTTGCTTTGTTCAGCTGCTTTGCGTAGAGCCAAATCAGTGTGCCAAAAATGGGATTTTACAAAAACGTCTGTTTGGTAATGGGTAGATTGCATGCTTGATAAAAAGGTCAGCTGAAAATCCACAGTCATTATCTTCAAATGTTGCTTTCGACACCGGAAAACAGTGATCTTCACTTGATGTCATGAACATGACAACAACGGTTGAAAAGATGAGCAAAGGCATTCTGCCTAGAAGGAAGTCGAAACGCAACCATCGTCGATGTTCGGAGACACTTGCTGATGCGCCAAATACACTTCACCGTTAGGAAAAGACTAGATGGACTATCCTTGGGGACCTACCTTCTAGAAACGTCCGTTAGAGGTAGGCCTCTTAATGCTGTCCAGTTAGAGTTATCTTGGTCACAAGACAGCGCAAGAAAACTGCTCCATTGAGGACGATGATGATAATGATGACATTGATACTGTGATGTTCGGTTTGACAGAAATGATAAGAGAGTTCAAACTTTCGCTTTGGGATGGAAAGCATCAAACATCTATCAACCTTACAATCACTTAATGCTGTCCATCTGGAGTTATCTTGGTCTCAAAACCGCGCAAGAAAACTGTCTTATTGAAGACGATGATGATAATGATGACATTGATACTGTGATGTTCGGTTTGACAGAAATGATAAGAGAGTTCAAACTTTCGCTTTGGGATGGAAAGCATCAAACATCTATCAACCTTACAAGAGTCCTCTATGGCCAACTTTGCAACCTATCCAAATCATCCGTCGTGTTTTTCGAGGTCTTTTGGGGGCGGTTTCCGGTAACCAATAGGATACGGAGAAACCACCAACCTATCCGAGGCGTTGAATTATTCCGTGACAATCACTTCTACCTTGATTGGTCGGACAAACACAAGCGTGTACCAAATTTATCATTCTGGCCCTGTTTATTGACCACAGTTTCCCAGGACATAACAGCTTCCAATTTCGATGGAGGTGAGAGAGAGAGAGAGAGATTAAAAGAGAGAATGTAAGAGGTTGTGATCGGGAGATAGAACAATTCGACGTCCTCAGCTTTTCAGTTAGACTTAAATTAATTTTCATATTAGATACCTAGAGGAGTGACTGAACTATTGTGTGGGTTTTTGAGGTAATATTTGGTTTAACGGTAACCTGAGGAGTCTTGGTAACTTTCATTTCATGTTTCTTTCCGTAAATGATGCCAGTCTATGCTTTAAAAAACCGAAAAGTGAAGCCATGTACAGCTGTTTCATCCTTGTTGGGAATGATCTGCGGGGCGCACTGTACGAAATCTGCGAACTGCCGATCATAGGTCGAGCATTTGACTGTTTGGCTACGAGTAAGAACATAAAATAGAACACGAATTTATGGACACGTGGTACTCCACCGAAGAAGCAATCAACCTATAATCGATATTGATCCCATTTACCAGCCACTAGGAGCGATAGAATGCCAGAACCACAGAGCTTAGAACTGCACAAGTAACCAGACGAGGAACTCATAAGAGAAACAGGAAAGCATCATTCAAACGGACACATCAATTGGATTGGAGGAGGCGCCCAACCAAAGCACCAAATCGGTCGGCGTACACCGGGACACTAACCGCCAGGGTGGGGGAAATAGGGCAGTACAAGCAACCAGTCAAACTCGAGAACGTCAGACCACGAAGAAAGGCCAGAGAACAAGCTACTAAAAATAAAAGGCGTTGGAATAACCAATCAACATAAAGGAACACAGACCACAACGCAGCAAAGATCACAAATCAACCGATAGATTCACTAAATTCGTTACATTTCAAGTAACAGATAGGCTCCGAACGCTATATAAATGCACGCAGGCAAGGGAAAAGTACCCATCCAACTGCGCACTGATGATGTTTCCTCGTAGGGTGACGAAACGTTTGCAAGCCAATTGCCAAGCTTGGCGGACAGATCAACGGTCACCTGATCAACAACCAATGAGTTAGGAAACAGCAGCGCGAGTGTCACTCACTTAGACAGGGCATAGCCCCTTCATCTTTTAATCGCGGAATACATGTCACATGATCATGTGTTGACCGGCTCCTCGAGTGACGAGTTTTCATATGCAAGAATCAATCACCGGATGCGTTATATTGATTCCTACTTAAAGGTGGGCGTGATTTTTCAAGTATTTTCAAGTGTGCCTTGTCTTTTCAGTGATGTGGTGGCGGTATTTGGTCTGCCCCATAAAGTTACTTTTTCAGCCCACATACTGTTAGTCTCTTCTAGATTGATGTCCCCAAGTGCTAGGTCTTACCCTGTGGAGCATAGTCACACCACCCTCTTTTGAACGGTCGTCCTCCTGTTCTGACGTAATTATTCCGGTGACTCCACACCAAAAGGAAGCACTGGACTCTCTCTTATTAGAGCTCATCAGCAGTGCGTACCCAATTGTCGTGCCAGGATTTGAACCCCGGACATCGGACATGCGAAGCGAGCGTTTAGCCACTACTCCGCCCACGCACGTTGGTCGCATCTGAATTTCCACCTCTGAACAGGCGAACGTGTTCACGCTTGAGCGATGTGATTGGTGTGCCCGAACCATCGAACGACGACCCAGTTACTGTCCTGGTTGTGACCCGCCAGTTAGGTAGCGTGACGCACGCTTGAAACCCACAGGGCAACTTTTTGGTTGCAGTTTTTGGGGGTTTTGTTCATAGTCACACCACTCTCGTTTGAAAAAAAACCCTGATTTGTTGTCTCCTCTTCACCTTATTTTTTCACAGAGGAATAGTAAGAATATATGGAGCTGTTTGATTCATTCGGTCATCTTTTACAAACCTCACCGAGCTAGTGATAGTTATTGCTTCATTTGGTTTGTTCCGGAAATTGGTTGTGAGAAACGGCACCTGTAGAGAGCACTAGAACTCTCGAACTGCAAAAAGAACCCACTCCTGTTCGGTCTTTAGACCGAACGGATCCAGTATTCGAAAGATCCTCCTCTTCTTGCGGTTTTCAAATGCTAAGCGAGATCGACTGTATACGCAGATTTTCATCAATACCAATGAATTTTCGGTTTGCGGTTCCTAGGTGCGAGATGTGCACTGGACTTGAACGTGGTAGCTGGTCGCTTGACCTTGAAACATCACTAAAATGCTACCAGTTTCACCCATTTTATCATTCTCACGGGCCAATGCTGTTCATACATAAGTAAGTGGATATTAGCGAAGAAATTTTCCAGAGGCGGTGAAGTGCAGGTGTCTTTGTTTAACACCGAACTAAACTCCCCGTCCGCGACCCACTATTCAACAGATGCCGTTTTCTAATAAAAACGTCAGCTGTTCAACACGCGCCAGTGCATTTAGATCATCCATTGTAGTTGTGTAGTCGGTGGCCGCTCGAATCTTTGTTAAATTAATGTTGTGATCAGCCAAGCAAATGTTCACATGACCAGTCCGTGCTGACCCACCTGATCGATCAGCCGCATCCAGCCTAAGATCGAGATGTACGGAAAGCGATCACGTTGAATTTCCGACTAGCAATTCTCCATCAGGATCGATAGGCAGTTAGAACTGACAAAATTGACAGGTAATGAAGCTACCAAAAGAGGTTGGTTCATACAACTAACACACAAACAGGCAAATCAGTGGATTAGTATCACTTTGTTGATTTTTTTTGTAAAATTATATGGGAAGAATGGAAAAAATCACATCAACGTGTGTTGGTTCAATTTAATTACGCTACTGCTGCAAGAATTCTTCACGTACTGTTCCCACTGATGCTCAAGTGGGACACGTATAATCAGGTCAACCAAATTTCACAACGATTCGTCAGGATCAAACTAAGAGCACTGTGCGATGGGGTTTTCCGATTTACCGTTAGAGCGACTGCGCAGTGCGACACCCCGGATAGTCAGCTGATTCGTGACTAACACCTCCCCCCTCCGAGGTGACATCCACAAAGTGTTCTGCCATGCTGTAGTGGTCATTCATCAACCTGGGTGATAGCGTGGTGTCGACGTCTTCAGATTCATCAACTTTTGTTTCGCGACTCGAGGTGTGATGGGTGCGTCTGTGTATGTTCGTATAACTCACAAATGGTAGACCAACCAAACACCATGTGACGTTCACATGTTTCTGTGGCGAACTTTCAAAAAATACAGGTACATACACACACAATCGGTAGAAGAACTGCGACTGCACAGGTGGTGCCACATTTGCCACGGTGAACCAAATGGGATAACACGATGGTGATCATTTGTCAATACAAAGTGGAGAGTGAGGTCTGACCCTGAAAATTCACATGGGACTTGTATTTTGTATATGTTATTGGCGTTCATTTGTTTGATTTGGAAGGTGTTACTTGAGTATTACTATATTACCGTACTACAATATATTACATGCATACTACATGTACACTGCATGCAATACGATACAATACAATACAACAATATACTACACTATACTATACTATACTATACTATACTATGCTATACTATACTATACTATACCATGCTATACCGTGCTATACTACTATGATATACCGTACTATACTACGTGCCACACTGTACTATATCATTCTATACTGTTCTGTAGTGCTACGTATGAGTTGAATGAACCCACATAACGAAATGTCTTTTGACTCTGTTAACCCGATGGAACAACAGAGCGCTATCCAGTGTAATCAAACATTTTGCTCTAGGAACCAGTCACTTGTGGGCGGTCCTCTATGAATCAGTTTTGGACGCTGAAAGTTCAGCTGGTCGGAAATTGCGATGCATACTCATCTGGAAGAGCCAGGCATTGAAGTCAAATACGATACGCAAGGAAATCATGGTAACATCTCAAAAGAGTGGTCAAATGTAAGTCGTAAAACCTACTTGAGCCTGGATTTTTTTCTAGGATGTTGAGAGAGATGGGTCAGTGAACTGAATTTGATATATACGTGCTGTTTTACAGGATAGGTTTTTCAGTGGGCGATTATTTGTCGATCAAGGCAAGAAATACGAAAAAATCAGATTCACTTTAAGGAAAATATTTAGAAGAGATTGCTGACTGTTCATTTCGAGAGCTGCACCGAGTGGCTTGAGTCTCCGGTGTGAGGATGGGCATGCATACTTCTGGTTGTTTTCACTCTACGCAAGAGGCAGAGTGCGGCAACCAACAAGTAACAGGCGAGACATTCCCAAGCATCTCGTATGGTTAGACCTCTCAACAAGAGTCTACTCAGTGGAAGACACACCTGAAATCCCCAGTGGGGTAAAAATCCCGTGGGACATAGGGAAGTCCTGTTTGTCAGACAAGAGGTGTTGGCTACTGTTTCATGGGGCCGAAAAAATCCCGAAGTGGACTGGTAGTTGGCAGTATTTTACTCTGTATTACTATTGTTTATTCGAGTAGTGAACAGTCTTTGATTGCTGACGGGCTGGTGCACATCAAATCGTGGGGCCGGACCACCGGTAGAATATTAATCACGTTCTGAACAAGTCCATCTTCTCTCTGTCTGGTTTAGTCTGCTGGTCACTCCGAAACATGGTTATGTGACCGATCAAAAGCATCGCTTGCATTTTTGTGAGGACGCGCTTGGAGACCGGAACCAACATGCTAGTTTTCATCCCATAGTCACTCAATCGAATATTGTTCTAACTGAAAAGGATCGTATCAGGAAGGTCATATTCCTGAAAGTAACCACTGAATGCCCGAAATCTGCTGGGATCCTCAACTCCACTAGATGCTGACCAGACCGACAACGCCCCCCTCCCCCAGTATGCAGCGCGTGACAGCCTTGTATCCAAACCAGACAGAGTGAGTCAGCGTTGGACCAATGTCAGACAGTGTCCCTCCAATAAAACTGCTGCTGTCTTCTCTTCGGTGAGTATTTTTCCGGCACTGAAGGGGGATCAGGATTAAGACTGGCGAATCCACCAGATAAAATAGATCGCTTAGCTTGGTTGGGTTAGCCATAATAGGACACAGTATGTGTACAAGTTGAAAGAATTTTCAAAACTTACCTTACTCTGAGTGTGCTTGGGCATGTTTTGGACGTGACCAGTCGAGTGAGTTTCGACGCTGGTCCCGGATGCCATTGACCCGTCCCCAATCCGCTCTCTTTGCTCATGCGCGCTGGACGTCTCCGGCTCGACTCGCAATCGAGCGATGAGCAAGCGTACAGAAGGTCGCTTTTCCGCCAAGTTGCGCGCGATAACTGTTTTCATTCGCGTGAGTGCATCCGCACCGGAAATTCCCGACAGCGGTATCCCATCGATCGACAGTAGTCGATCACCGACCTGAAGTCGGCCGTCCTGTAAATAGGCGCAGTAAATAGAAATCTGTTGATACAGCATAAAATGAAGAACAAAAAACCAGCCCAACAAAACAACAGAACCAATGTCGGTCAATCGACGTCGTTGATGAGCTTACAGATTTCACTGTCGGCGAGACACATAGCGAGGATTCACTTGATCACTTGACTTTTGTGAACTGAACTCCCCGAGTATGATCCCACAATTTCCCACAAGTTTCTTCAACGGTTGCCTATATATTGCCTTCAGCTTCGTATTTATACAAGTAAGTTAGCGACAGCATTTAGCCCACGCGAATGAGTGTAATTCACCTGTGAAGGTGTTTCAGTGGACAGCCAGAACTAACATCAGTTAGTAGAATTTGACGTGTCAATAGCACTCAGCTGGACAGATGGTTTGTACAGAGTCAGGCTTGTGAAATGTTCAATCCGATATGAACCTAAAAGTTTGAGATGGATGGAAAATCTTAAAAAAGCCTGCCAACGGAGAGTGGTCGGTTCAAGTGTGGACAAAATCACCGTGTATCGTCAATCGTGTATAATACTGCATTCGAGTAACTAACTGGGTTCGCACAGCTCCATGGATTCACGGACTCTCTCTGACAATTTAGATTGTGCTCGGGTCCCCAAACTAACGATTGGCCGAATAAAGCTAAAAAACCGAGATTTGCTTGAACATGGGGATGCGTGTGGTGATGGTAAATTCAGTACAGCTATCGCTCTGCAAGGTTCATTTCTGGCCGGTCGCGTGACTCTGAACACAAAGTTATAAGCCTTTTTTCGACACTTCTGGATAGTTGTTAGTGTAGTCCACTCGAGTTGGTGATACTGATTTCACAGGCGCGCGGGTTAATTTGATGGCATTCCTCCACCAGCGCGAACATATGCTATTTTCAGAACCGGATGCCATGATATTCGATCCGGTTAAAGATCTGCGGAGCTGTGGGTTCGCCTACACCCAGCTAAAGCTCAGTGGAGTTACAGTTCACTAATCAAAACAGAAATCTCCCACGGATTAAGGCGGTGGTTGGCTTGAGAGTCAGGTGAATAGTTCACACGATTGTTGAAAACTAAGACCGATAAAACCATTTTTGGCCTCCTGTTCTCACTGTACAACCAGTGCAACCAGGCGAATTTGGATTGCAATTTGTGTTGCAAAACACTTGTACGGCTGGAATTTCGTCCACTGTATTCGAGTTGGATATAAGAAAAAGGAGGTAGTATGGGTTTTTTTTTCGCATGATTTTACTACAACATTGGGAACAATTCGGTGCAGCTTGAAGTGTTCTGGAACGGGTCGATTTCCTGGTCAAGTGGAGAAACCAGGCTAAGTTAGACAGGTAGACAAGAGTGGTTGTTCGAGACTGGGCGAAAGAAAAACTTGTGTACGCCCCATAAAAATACATAAATTAGTGGGTGTGGCAACTGTTCGAAAATTCCACGCAAAACATTTGATTCGATTTGAGTAAGAACACTTTGTGGCTCAAAGTGATTTATGGTCGCAATTTTTTCGGGATTATTACTAACATTGGAATTGTTGCACAACGCATAAGGAACTTCTGAAATGAGAATGTGTCGAAATCTCATCCACTCGGGTATGTTCATTGGTTGTTGATCTGTTTGCCGAGTTTGACCACCAACTAGGTAGAAGCAGGACAAACTGCGAAGTTTAAAAAAATTTCTGTACGAAGATACAGATACGAAGTACACTTCCGTCTGTAAAATATTGTTGTCCTAATGATACTAGGCCTTCAGGAGTAACTAATCGACGTATCAGTTACGTCGAGAAAAAGAGGGGGTTTCAGTCTGTCCACTAACAACACTGAATCCTGTTGTCCCAGCTGCAGTGACTTAGTACCGAAAAAGACTCTCCAACAAGGACGAAAACAATTTTATTGAGAACAAGTGAGTGCAATGTTACAAGGGACGTCGCACTATTTAAATGTCTTTTTTCATCGATCCATGCTGTTGCTGAATTGATTGATTGATCGATTGACTGGCCTGGATGCTTGGCGGCTTCCTTATAGAGATCTTTTCTTAAGCTGGTCGGTCGCAGTAGGTTTCGGGGTAATTTTCAGGAACCTGATCTTTCTGACAGCTACTCACACGGGGAAGAGTAGTATTTATCACCCACATTTACATGTAGGTGAAGACTGGTCTCAACCTGCATGCAGTTTCCATGATGAGACTGATGATGTGGTCCCGTCCGCTCTCTTTTATTTTTCAAATTGGAACGAGAAGATCTGTCGCCCCAAGAGGTTGAAACGTTTGCGTCCGGTAGGGTTACGACGGGGGTGAGAGAAAAAAGCGTTCTGCATCATGGACATTGTACTTATGTCATCAAATTAAAAACAAAAAGAGACGAAACAAAACACTGCCTGTCCGCTGCAAAGTTAAAGAAAATCGGATTGCTGCTTTTGTTTAGACTGTAAGTAACTGGATTATTTAAATTTTACTACAACATTGGGAACAATTCGGTACAGCTTGAAGTGTTCTGGAACGGGGCTGTTTTGAATTTTTGTGATCACGGTAGCCAACAGCCGGTCTATGCGTACACATCCAAATGGATAGACAAGTGAAAAACGCTGTTTGTCAGACCAATGGATGACAACGAGGATGACTTACACTATATGCTGCCCCACCTTCGATCACTGTTCTAACAAAAACAGCATTCTCTGAATTGTCTGGTTCCCGGTGAGACGCTTGAAGAGGAACGTGCGGTGGAAGGGAGGGTCGGACGGACACCGAAACACCGAGAGTAACGGGTGAGGAGGTGGAAGGGTTCTCCATGGGTAGGTTAGTAGGCGTTTGTGGTAGCGGAATGTACAGATCAAATATTTTAAAATGGGCTGGATTGATCGAATGGATCCGATAGTCTGCAAGATCTTCGACTTTCTGAAAACAAAGACATCGTCGAGAAAGAGAATAAAGCTAGGATGTACATGGAAAACCGGAGTAATCTCACGCTGTAAATGACCTAGGTTTTGCCGTGAATACTTGTCAACAAGAGAAAGAGCAATGATTGGGTCGTCGAGATCGATTTCGATAATAATTTTGTAGTGCACGCACACGTACTTTTAGAATAAACGTGTGAAGAAACTGCGATAGGTGATAGTTTGGATTGAAGCCGTCCACATTGTGAAGAAATAGATCATAGTGATAGAGACTCTGAACGCTCAATCTATGTGTTCATTGGGTGGTACTACTGATGGGGGAGGCATGCGAGTAGTATTTTTTCTCCATGTAAATTCACTTTGCGTCTCTTGAAAAGGGAGTTCTGTTGCGGAATTTGTCCACTCGCTTTGTAGCATTTGCTTGGATTTGAGCAATGAATGATTTGATTCAATGAATATCCAGGAAATTTCAAGAAGACGCGTTCAGGAGTAGATACATGCTCAGTTTTTGTAAATAAGATGCAAATGAGAGTTTTGCTTTCCTATTCGATAGTCCGTAACTGGTCAGTTGGCATTTTCTAATAAATAAATTCGCGGCGAATGACTTCTTTCTTCCACCGGGAACGATCCTTATGGTTATTCGATGTCCAGCTTCAAACTCACTTAAGTCTAATGAATGTTCTATATATAAGAAACAACCGCGCTACCAGAGCAACCAGTCTGTGAAGTTATTGCAAGTTAGCGACCATTCTGGCCTACAAAGAACGTGGATGGCGGTCACGTAGTTCCATAGGCATAAATTCGAATTATATTTACCAATCAATGAAAGTAGCTGGTGGTGTGAGCGATTTATTGATCGATGAATTGATTCAACGGACTTCTATCTATCCCGATGGGCCCACTGTGCAGAATGAACGCCTGAAGAGATCGAACCACTTCCAAATGTAGGATGAATTAGCACACACCTCTCGGGCTGGTACCTTTTAGAAGACCTGAAGGGATCTCCAAATTTGGACTACGCTCTTCATAAGTCTTTTACTAACAGAAAATTAATGAATGAGAGGTTTCCGTACCGGGTATCCGCCGGACTCCTTGTTCGTTTCCGTGTACCCATTACTCAATACTATTTGGGCATCGCTGTGTCGGTGTGGAGTAAAAGATGGAAACTGATTCTTTCAACGGCAGACTCTCTCATCCTGATATTGGGTTTTAAGCTCAATGACAAACGAAGCTAACGAAACATATCCGTAATGTCGATGGAGAATGATAATGAGTTATCTTTCTCTGGATCGTGAATTGTAAATGAATGAGTGTAAAACCTTGAGTGAGACTACTCACAAGGTTATCTAAAACTCAGTGACAGTCAAAAAACCGGTTTCACCCTGCTTTGGTCTCATCACGTGGATGTCTACTTAATGTGTTGCTTGAATTCAAATTCGACGGAATTCGAGAAGTACACCCAGTTGCACACCAAAGTGGTTTTAATGGGGGAGTCAACTGATATGAGTAGTATTTACCCTAGAAATCACACTGTGATAGCTCGAATATTGTGCCAACTGAAACAAGGAGTTGCCTTTGTGTAGCACATTCAGTCGAAGAACATCATAAACGAGAGAGTCTCCCGTGAAAACCTAGTTGATGTGCAAACGAGTGTATATGCCGAAATCAGTACAATTTGGGTTCAAGCAGAACATAAGGTTGACGGGAACTCGGAAACTGCACCTATTCGATCAGCCTAAAGAAGGGCAAAATAGGTTGTTGGCTGTAGAAGAGCTTTCAGTAACCATGTGAGTAGTTTCCTTTGATGAGAATATACTACGGTATCTCGAACATTGTTCCAAAGGAAAACTTGGGTGTCCTTTGTGTGGCAAACCCAGGTGATGAACATCATAAACGAGAGATTCAGCTGGGATCCACGCGAGTTTCCTATTCTAACGAAATTGGTGTGCAAATAAGTGCCTTTCACGAACTGTATGGCTACTTAAAATAACCCGCCAGCTGGAACGCAGCAACTTATAGAATCCGCGTGACGTCTTCAACCGATATTTACCTATTGTCGGGTGTAGAAATGAATGAAACTTCTGAAAGTGGTCAGTTCAATTGGTATTTCACAGTGACTCGACTATTTGCATACCTTTGTAGAAGTTGGGGTCACCGGTATGGTTGCGTCCTTAGCCAAAGGCTTATTCGAGGCGGTAGGACTAGCCACCATACCTGATCCGCGACTGACGTTTGCTGCCGGCTCACGCCAAACAAGAAGCTTTACAATACTGTTTACAGGTTTCTCCCTGAGCAAATGCACGGCTCGAGCTTGCCCCAATATGGCCACATCGTGTCCATCCACCTGAAGTGCAAACGAACACCGGAAGTGATCAATCCCTAGCAGAAAAGAGATGCTCAGGATGGTCAAGCTAGGATCAGACTACACGTACCTGCACCAATCGATCTCCTGGATGTAAACGACCGTCCATAAGGGCTGCACCTCCAGGTAGGACACTTTTAACACAAACCATACGTTCCTTCAGAACCGGGTGGTCCCGGCTGGTCAAGCTGAAACCAAGTCCATTGGAACCTGTGAACGAAAAGGATGACAGGTGAACTCAAGGACACGCTCAATTTTACTCTGTGGGTCAGTAATAGTCTTGGTAACAAGGACACCAACGTACCAAACGTAGAATAGACTAGACTGACGAGCTGAAGTAAGCTACAAGTCTGCACGCTCCGTTCATTCTCACTTGCGATGACTAGAAGTAACTTAGTGGCTTTCGGGGCCTTTTCATTTTCACGCCAGTTGACAAAAGAGGCTGAACAATGTGCAACCATAGTTCTGACAACCAAGTGGTTTAAGAAAACGCTACACATTGGTTGAATCGATATGAGTAGCTCGAGTAATCTCACATTGAAAATCACGTTTCCAGGAAATCCCAAAGTAGCGTCCATGGTCCATGACCCATAAACAGCGCAGAAGTAGAGTACACTCGGGACACATGATTATAGTTTGCTTGGTACACGTTAGATTGAGAGTAAACGCGAGGATGGCGGTAGAAATCGCATACGAAGGCGTGTTAATCTACTGAAATGCTGTCAACCTTGGAGTTAAATATGTCCCCCCGTAGGCACATCGCAATCCTGGTTGACACTTGCAATAGTGCGAACTCCTGTCTAGGCTCTAACCCTTTCAACCAATACAAATACTCAAGTTCCCATGAGAACAGTGTTCGTTGGTAATTGAATAGGTGGCTGTTGATCTGTTCGCCGAGCTTGGCAAATGTTTCGTCACCATTCGAGGAGACATCTTTAGTGCGCTGTTGGTTAGGTAGTCCCTCTCTTCGGACCTGCGTTTATATAGTTTACAAAGAGCAGCGTTTGCGCTGCAACCTGGATTCTGATTGGTCCGATCTCAATCTGTGTTGAGTTGTGGTTTGTATTTTTTGCTTGCTACGGCCATACTACAGTTGAAATTGCCGTCCATTGTTGTCTCTCTCGGTTGGCCCGTTCTTGATCCGTATTGCGTCGTGGTCGGCGTCTCTGTTGGTTTGTAATGTACCTTCTATTTTTAGTAGTTTGTTACTTGTAATGTACCTCCTATTTTTAGTAGTTTGATATTCTTTTGATTCCTTCTTTGAGTCCTTGTTCGTCCTCGGGTTGTGTGCTTCTGGATTTCCTTTGTCCTCAGAGGTTGATAGACAGGATCACTCTCAATGCTCTCGAAATGGCCAATACAAACAACGGTCCATAGAGATCGGACCCCACTCAAATCGAACAAACAAACTGAGCCGCATGTGAGTGAACGGGTGAACTCAACGACTGCGAGTTTCCCTCGGTTGGCAAAAATTTACTGTAATGGATACGACTGGACTGCTGAAACGCGTTTACCCGACAAACTGCTGTTTGTTCATTCCACCAATAATTCAGCTGTTCCTCCCCTTGGTCACCAAAATACTCTTCTGACAGCCCCCCCCCCAAAAAAAAAACACCGAACGATAAACAAATGAGAAATAGCTAGACAAACATTTTGCCTTGTTACAAAGATATAATGAATGACAAACAGGGGAACGACAAACGACCACTTACCAAAACCATGCCTGTTACGGTCCAGATGCGATACGATAAACAAAGTTAGACGTTTACATGGATGTCAGACGGATCAGGACAGCTGTTGTGTTGACTAGGCTCCTCACAAACCGTTGAAACACAGACCTGGTTTCTGTTGGATAACTTATGGTTCTGGATGTAAAAACTGACGGGCTGGGTAGGGTCTCGCTAGGAAGAATCGTCGGCTTAGACTATTGTTTGATCATTTGATGCGGTTTCCGACGATGTTCTCCCAAGCGCGCATGGCTTAGCGGAATGTCACGGGTGCGACTGAATTGGGAAATTACTATAATACTAGTCAGTATCAGAGCTTCCAAATACGAACTGAAGGTCACCATTATAATTGGAATCATATCAAAGGTTTTCTTCTGCACACTAAAAACCACATTAAACCGACCGCGCGGGGATGAAAGTTGGAGTTTGAATGCCTGTGGGAATCTGAGATTCCCTTTTCTTGTCTTCAAATGTTAGCTTTCGTAAGAAACCTGCAACATTGTTTTGTGCAGTCGAGGTCACGGGACAGACGTCGAATGAATGAATGAATACATTAGCTGATTTGATTGATGCATCATTCAAACGTGACCAACAGTCCCAGGCCAAGACCTCGGAAGTTCAACTTTCCTTCCTTCCGATTAGTTTGCGAACAATCGCAAGAAAAGTGAATCACGTCCCCACTCAAGCGGAAAATTCCAAAACCCACCGATTACTTTTCAGGTTTCCTACTGTCGTGTCCTCTCTAAGAATCACACGCAAATATAGGTGTCGCAGCAATATTCCCTGGTTCCCAAACGGAATGGAATTTCGCAAATGAAATCAGTCTATGCCGGACGCATTATACAACTGATCGATGAGGATGACCAGCAGTAGGGACCGTAAGCTTCTACTTGGTGGCTCAGTTCTATACCATTCCGTCAAAAGTAGCTAACCATCACTGTCAACACTTGGACGGCATATAGCGCGACGTTGCTTCAATCATACAACTCGTGATTCGGTGTTCATTGGCTCCCGTGAAACGATCCCCAGAAGGGAAGTTTGTTCAGCTGACTGATGCGATTTTATATAAATGGTGTAATGCAGCCTTTGGGCTGAAATTTCGGGAAACACTGTGCTGTTTTTTCTCATCTTTTTTGGGAAGAAAGGTGCATCTAACAAAAATCCAGGGAGACTCGAACCGGTGACCTTCAGGTTAGCAGTTTGAACGACTACTAGCGTACGTTGACTTCACCTTAAAAAAGAAATTCACATTAGAACCGTTTAACACCAGCAATATTTTATAGAAATCTTTTAGATCTACTTGGTCCCTAAGTTTGCGTTTGGCAGGGTCAAAAGACTTGAAAGTACCACAGAATCCACGCAGCTGGTAGCAAGCCTTTTGTTGCAATTTTGGATACAAGTTAAACTGTAGTCCTCGACAAGACCTGACTGATAGATTGCACAATTATGAATGATGCTACCGTTCACGACCATCACGTAAGGAGTTGGTTGGTGCATTTCACAAGATCTGACTGCTAATGCTGTTGACAATTCCAAGTCTTGATGTGGGATGTTCAAGTCTACCAAGCTTGAACAAGAACATAAAGTTAAGACTGAACGGGAAAGCCCAAACTCTAGCTTGCCGGGCAGCTCCCCTATCCCAATTAAGCGTCTTTTCGGCACCTTGTCTAACCGCCATAAATTCATCAATTCTCCTACTTTCTATCAAGTCACATCAGTCGCTTCAAACATCTAGAAGGCAGCAACATCTGGCGCATTGTGGAGGTCACTAGATATCAAGGACAAGTGTCCCCAATGAGCAGCTGAACGATTTCATCCCGGGACATTCCGTTTCCATTCAGATTTTGTGTAAAACTGGGCTACCCACTTCGACTGTTACTTTGTCCATTTCGAAAAGGGTCTTGTTTGTGCAAAATGATGTGGTTGAATCTGAATGAGTGCATCGGGAACATCTGTGAACTACTATTGAACAGTTTCACGACGAGACCTTCTCAAGAACATGGGCAAATCACCAAAAATGATGAGGTCGCGCTATCAGACAGTATACCAAAAGCGCTACGCATTCGTTCGCCTGTAGCACCTTTTTGGTGCCTAGTTGCCATGCCACCAGAAGGAAGCACGAGGGCTGGAATACTGCCAGGTTGCTCCAGGCTAGACAGCGGAGATCGAGAGACAGAGGTCGGTTTCGAACCACGGACCTTCCGGTCAGTAACTTCGCTCTCTAACCAGTTGAGCCATGTCACCCCACTCCTCATGCATTACATTACATTTGCAGGCGGTACAGAGCCATTTACCTCGCCAGTATCAAAACAAAACACTTATGTAGATCTAATTCGTGCTTCCCTTTCACCCAAGCACCTACAACCGAACGAACCAATCAAAGCACCCACAAATAACGACCATCACAAACAATGAACTGATTTCGGACAAAGAGGAAACCTGACCTTTTTGCAAATAGATTTCTATACATTCTTCCATTGGCAACGCGGTAGGTTTGTAACAGACGGAAGATTTAGGTGGCAGCGTTGGTGTGTGGTCTGCTGTTGTCTTCGGTTCTGTGACAATCGCGTGGCGGTCTGTTTCACACTGCGTTTTCTCCTGGAAGTATTCGTCCATAGAAGGCGGAATGACACCTGTGGGGAAACGTGTCAGCATGGTGTTGGTCGTGGGGGAGGAGGTGGGGCCGGTTTGTCTGCACGGGGTTTACCTTGCGCCTCGGCCTCTTTAGCCTTGGCACTCTGGTCATCTATGACAATCAGACGGCAACACAGTTTCTCTGGTTTCTCACATGGCGGTTCTACTTGTCCAACTGTGGTCCCGGACGCGGCACGGGGCAGCACCTCGAGCACTAGTTCGGGTTGACTGAGAGCGGCTTGAAACATATCGCGGCCCCTAAGAGACAAGGAAAGTGGTGTGCGATATATGGTGAAAATATCATGTTATTTTAAATGGTAAAATTATCAACAAACGCACACAAGAATCATTACATTTCGGGCATTTCTGTTAGCCTCCTCATTGGATACGTTCCAGTGGTGAACAAACGAAACAAATCAGTTGTTCAGTGGTAACACCCTTTTCGTGGCGCGGCTGGCTTGTCACCTGAGGGAAACCTGAGAGCTGAGATACCACTAGGTTGAGCGTTGGGTTCGAACCACAGACATTTCGATCAGGAATTTCGCAACTTTGAAAAGCCACACAAAATCGTGCCTGCTCCAACCGAAGCTGTTTTTCAATAACTGCTCTCTTCAGAAGCAGAGTTTTCTGAAGAGTCATTTCTGATTACTCAAAGAGAAGTCAGAGTAAGGTAGATTTGAATTGGTGTCTAATCCCCAAAGTTTTTTTGACCTATGAAACTAAACGGTACGAGTTGGAGCCACTGTGAACGTGCGAATTCAAGCGGCACTCTGTCCACGGTGACTCTTTGCAGAGCTGGTTGAAAACGGCCAATATGGAGGGGATTTTTGCCCCAGATTTCTTCTTGAAGTGATATGTACCATAATATACCATCCATCTTTCTATTCAGTTTTAGACAAGGAACAAGAGAGTTGGAAAATGGTCAGTCCAAAAACATCTCAAAAATGGCAGCAATATGAGAAACAATCAAGAAAACTGTTGGGGAATGTTCATTTTTGTGGACAGACATAGCTTGGGGGAGGGAGGAGGGGAGAACTGTAGGCTTCAGCTAATTTTGTTTCACGCCAGGTGGAGCCGGAGAGTGTCTAGACTGTTTTCGTTTTTTTTATCCACACCTCGACGAGGTCTATTAAAACTGCAATCCTCCGGAACTTCGCGAATCTAGTTGATGTGAACTTGGGTTTAAATTAGACTGGGCTGAAGTGCCCGTTTTCTACGCTACTCTTAAGGTTTGTGAAAATTCTTCGACAGCCCATGACCCCCTTTGCTCTTCTTGGGGGATTCGTCAGGTTTACGTCAATCTTATGTTCCAAATTACACTCATTTGTATACCGATTTGGTTTTTGTGGGAGACTCAGCTGAAATTCTCAGTTGTTGCTTTTTATTCGACTGTGTTACCTCTATTCAACGAATTGCGATATCCCGAATACCAAAGAAAACGGAACATGATGCGGCTCTGTTTGGCACATTCAATCGGTAAGCAAATGAGTGTTGCTGTCGAATCCTGTTGAGTACGCTGTCGAATCCTGTTCAGTACGGTCTTCCATTAAATATGTTACACAGAAAGACAGCTTCGAGTTTCAGTAGTCAAGATATTTAATAAACCAACAATAATGGCAATCGTTCAGCTGTAATTCCTTCTTGGTACTTAGGCCACACGAAGGTATCTTTAGGTTTGCCTAAGCTCAGACACAAGCAGTCTAGCCGCAGATTTTTTATTCGAACCACAGATCTTTCGATCGGTGAGTTGGCGCCTTATTCACGGAACTAACTCCAGTTCAAGATATTTAGACTCTCAGAGTGTCATCGAAGCACTGTTATAAACTGCTGGGTGATGTACTTTCATCTACGGTTCCTTTTCTGAAAACAGTGATGTTATACTCCTCACAAAAACTGGTGTTAGTGATGTTGAAGCCAAGAATCCTAAGCACTTTTATAAAAAAACAGCACTGTGATCTTTATAGAGGAAACTATCTGCGAGATTGCCCATGACCGGTTTCTTCAAAATCAGTCCGATTTGGGTTCAAGTAGGTCGACGGGAACTTGGAGACTGTGCCTATCTGATGAGCCCCAAGAAGAGCAAAACCGCTCGTGGGCTGTTGAAGAGTCTTCAGCAACCTTGTGAGAAGCTTTCCCTTATGAAAATAACTATACTGCGTTATGTCGAATATCGAAACAGGAGATGGCCTTTGTGCAGCAGTTAGAGAATATCGTAAGCGAGAGATTCAGTTGAGTCTTCCGTGAAAACCAAATTGATTTGCAAATGACTGTGTATTTGTCGAGGTACTGTGATGTGTTTTGTCATCATGCTCGAGCCAGGCATATCAGCATATCTGTCCTGGTAACAACCCTTTGTTTCACTATCGACAAGTGAAAAGACTTCCCGACAAGCTATCCAATCTCCAGTCTGAAACGGTGGTCTGAACCGAGTTTTTTCAAAAGAGATCTGAAATAACAGACCATGTGCCCCACAACTAGGCTGTTCTGATTAGCCCAGAAGGGATAATCATGCACTGTAAAGTGTCTTTACTCCGATAAATGGTTTGGACCACAACTTAAGGCATTATTTGAATATGAGAACCCGCCGGTTCACTGGAACGCTACGCCTACAACCTGACCCGAAGCCCTTTTTCTGGATACACAGATGGTATCAGCGCAGCTTAGCCCGGTAAACTCCTGCACTAACAACAGACAGAGAGGACGGGAACTAAAACTGTAATAGGGAGGCATTTAAATCAGGTTGAATCGAAAATATCCAGGCACACTACGCAAAGTTCCATGGTCTAATGGTTCTATAAGACAGGGTTAAACTCATGAAATTGAGCTAACTGCCAACGGTAAAGTCACAGCAACACAGAGGAAAAGTGATCGATCGACAACGCTATCTGCTAAAGAGGTCTATACTGAACTGGAGGATATATATTCAACAATCCAACAGACAAGACAATGTACCCCTTTGGTGTTAGAAGGTATTTGTGTCTTACTAGATGAGCACTACTCATAAGGGTGCTGAAATGGTTCAAAAGCCCACCATCGATTTCGCTCATCCACCTCGGGCTCATCAATTAGACACAATCCCTGAGATCCCATTCGGTCAGCCTCATGTTCCGCTCAAACGAAATTCGCTGAGAACACTCATCTGCGCACCAATTTTAGTTGAAAAATATCTTGAAACTGTAGATCCAACAGGATTATTCATGTGTATGCCTTGTGTGAATCTTGAGTGGATATCGCAGTCGTTAGGTGGAATGTGTTTCCATTGGAATCAACCTACAACGGGAAACGTATTTTTGCTTCCAAGAATGAATACTTTCCATGTTGTTGTGATTTTCCATTTGGTGGTACCCTATGTGAAAGTGTGGCCCGGTACACTGACCCAATGAAAAGTACCCGTCATTGTTTCCCCACATTCTCCTATTCAGAGTTACCGGCTCAGAGTTATTTGTTCGTACGACGTTGATGACTATCCGAAAGGGAAATCGAATGAAGTTTGTATGCACAGAAAACTGGGTGTACAAAGTGAAAAGACAATTTTGTATTGAAGCCGAACGTTTCAGCAAAAATTCGATTAGAACAGAGCAATTTAAGATGATGAAATGCCAAAAACACACAGAAACACTCCAAAAGCAATTAGACGGCATTTGAATCAGATAGGCAGTCGATCAGGAAGGTTGTGTTGTCATATCTCAAATCGGGTAAGTTTTCTTGGCAAAAACTTAGTTGACCTTATTCACTGCTCTCCACATAAAAACAAGAGAAATGGCTGGAAAAATGGCTTACTTTTCAAACGGCATACCCGCCAGTGATATTCCATTAATGCTCAGAATTCTGTCCCCGACGGAAAGACAGCCTTCCTTGGCGACGCGACCGTGTGGCATGATGTGGTGTACTTCAAGGCCGGATTCACTAAACAAAAGCAAGAAAAGATGTAATAATAATCTGGAAACATCACAAACGAGCGATTCAGCTGGGTTCCAGGTGATTCTCTCGCAAATGAGTGTATATTCGCTAATTTCGTGCAAGTAGAACATAAGGTTGATGTAAACTCGAGGACTGCGTTTACCTGATGGGCTCCAAAAAAGACGAAACCGGTCGTGGGCTGTTGAGGAGTTTTCAGCAACCTTATGAGTAGTGCAATACATGTATCGCGATATGTTGAATATCGTGGCAACTGAAACATGAGACGGCCTGGTGCAGCACATTCAGTTGAATGGAAACATCACTAAAGAGAGATGCAGCTGGGTTCCAGGTGAGTCTCTCGCAGAACCGAATTTGTTTGCAAGTGAATGTATTTCACTAGTATGATAACCTAGTTTTTTGAGCTATTACTTCCCAAATGAGACTTAACACATCTTCTTTATTGATCGCTCAGTTCGCCAGTCTTAGTACAGACAGGTTGTGTGGAACAATTGGTGTGCGACCAAGACGATTACGATTCGTGTTGTTGTTAGTTTATTGGTCAAAGGTCCTTGAACCCGGGAAGGTGATCATTTCCTTGGAACCTATCACCGAATATGTTCCAGCATGCCTGGATGTCACACTGGTTTTCTTGACGCAGGAGTTCCCGTGCATCACGAAGCAAGCGGTCAGAACCTGATCAAAGCCTATCATATATCTTGTTAAATGTGGGTAGTACTTGCTCTATTTCAGTCAGATAGTCACTCAGCCAGCCATTTTTAGAACCAAATTGGTTTGCTTTCTCCCGTTAACCTAACCACTTCGTGGTAAACTAGCAGTGTACCGTTCCCGCGTCTTTTGTTGCCCTCCCACCTCATATAAGTGCAGATGCTATTTGAAACCCCCCTAGATTTATCCGCTGTCAAGTCCTCAGTCGGGCAAGTTATTTTAACCAAACAACCCTAACTTCATCACGTGCAAGCACTGTTGACATGCTATGGTCAAATCGGTTCAACAGATTGACAGATTCGTTCAAAACTTTAAAACCCACTGAAGAGTGTTCACAAATGTTTGACAGCTTGGATTTCACCCGTCAATTAAACACCATGTTCCCGGCTTCGCATATCACATTATCAAGTCGAATACCCTCCGGTAAAATAAGCGGACACGCGACGTTAGTCCGTTGGAGGGCAAAACCTTGTCCAACACAACTGGTATTCCACATCCTGGTACCCATGTCTTTCGTTAACATGAAGAACCATCAATCATTCAAACGGTTCTTTTACATGCAAACTATCGGAAATTGGTGTTGCACGTTCACACTAAAATGTTTCTACACACACACACACACTCGTGTCTCCCTGTCATAGAAAATGCGGAAACATACGCACGCAGGTGTGTCCTGGAATTGAGCAAACATGGATGATGATGATGAAGATGAATGATGCTTTTGTCCATCGGAAAGCAAGATGTTGGACAAAACCGGACCATTCTTGGACTTGGTTTTTAATAGAAGGGTAACGATGCCATTTCAGTTCGCAAAACATATACATGTCATACGAGCTTGAAAGTGTACGAAAAACGTCTAAGAAATTAAGGCTTGTTACAGTGCGCGAGGTATCAGGATTTCCAGAAACCTCTTCGGTCCTGTGACGGAAGCTTACTGCTAACGGTGGAAATTTCGGTGCCTGCATCAAGCATACCGGTCCGAGTCATTCCTTACAACCGAGTGGAGTTTAAAGCGTTTTTCTGGTGGTACCCCAACCAACGACCTACGTGTTAAGCGGATATCTGCCGTCAGTACAATGGAACTTTAGCTCATTGGGGGCTGTGAACACACTGTATGACTATTTAAATGGCTGTGTGAACACAAACCAGCAGGATGACGAGCTACGTCGATGATGTATGTGACCGATTTCCCCGTCGCCAGTATACATCTAAGATGACGTAGACTTTAGAGTGTGTGGTTTGGTGGCATTGGTCCTGATAAGCATCGGTTCTATAGGGTGAGGACGCCTCTGATGGTGAGAGTGATGCCATTCTGTAGACCGATCTTCACTTTGTGAAACAGTCTAAATGAAAGTGGCGACGGTGATGATGATAATAATAATGGCGACGGCGGTGTGGGTGTTGAAAATGTTGCAGATAGACGACTCTCGGAGGTACGGCGAAAACGGCCGTTAGATTAGATAAAAGCTCCTAATTAACACAACTAGGTTACTGTTCGGGCAATAATTACCCTGCGGTTATTGCTGGAAACAATTTTGGGCGTGCGAACACCCAGGTATATGTTACATGAAGTTTGGTAAAATTATCGGAAAAATCCAAAACGAGTATTTGCTTTGATAAGGATTATGAAGTGGCTCTATTCGATGATCAGCCGAAGTTCCCCAGATAATTTGCAGAACTGCAATCGAACGTTTTTGGTAAAATTATCGGAAAAATCCAAAAAGAGTATTTGCTTTGATAAAGATTATGAAGTGGCTGTATTCGATGATCAGCTGAAGTTCGCCAGATGATTTGCAGAACTGTAATCGAACGCCCCACCGAGTTCCCTTCTGATTTATGTCGGATTTTGACAATAATTTTGACAAAAAGATTTCAGAATGAAGTAGGAAACGGTCACTGTTGTGGTTATAGCAGTGAGTATGGTATTGCTGGTTAATGAAACCGGCTCCGTGAAAGTGTTTGAGGGCGATATGAGGCGAATTGCCAAGGTGGTGGCTAGTGTTACGGGGGCAGGGGAATAGTTGTGTGATAGACATATCGAAACAGAGACGGGGATGTATGGGCTAGCGATGATGACCCGCTGAAATCATTGGGGATGTAGGTAGTAAAATTATCGATAGTGGATTTCACATCCGACACACAGTGTTAAGCATCTGAGAATAACCAAGCTCACCAACCCCCGCAACTCACACTCGATCTGTGGTGCTTGACTGTATGTTCGCTTCCCGGGGTAGCTTTGCTGAGTCCACAAACACCGGTTTGATTTGAATACCCAGGTTTTCGCCTCGTCTTGTGTTGCGCAAACGAACCAAAACTGTATCGGGGTTGGTCGTTCGCGTAATTTTGACTTCTTCACCGATTGGTCTGGGCTCTTGTTTCGTCGTCCGATCGGGAAAAGTTGGGCCGGACAAGATCGGCATATTGCCAGAAACACGCGGAGCTGTGGAACTTATCACGTTCGTACCAGCTGGAGACTCAGGCTGAGCTGTCATCTGCTCGTTGCCTGTTTGAGTCGATTCCAGCCACCGTAGAACTGCCGGTAAGGGGAGCCCGCGTGGTATACTGGACCTGTGGGCGATCTCGTCAGTCGGGTGTTGAACCAGAGAAGGGCAGGCCACAAACGAATCTCGCAAAATTTCCACATTTTCCCCAAGGCTTGGTGAAAATTCCCGATTGTTTTTTGTTGTTGTTCCACCGCTGCTGTGTTCGGAGCGATCAACACTACAAGAAATGAAAGTGAAAACGCATTTACATAATTTGTTGGTTAGACGTAACAGGAAATGCGAACGATTCAGACGATTCCAATGATTTGAAAGTGAAAACACAATTTCCGTTTGAATTCAGGCGATTCGTTCGACCTCGGCCTTATCAACTCTAACAATCTACCAGCCGAAAAACCTTGAATTCATGAACCCCACAATAGAATTTTAAGAATAAAACTATTTTCCAAAATTTTGTGGTTTTTATAAGACATCAAAGCACTGAACAAAATACCGATAATATATAGGTAACTCATAGGAAGAATAAAAGTCACTTGATGATCTGAGAAGTTGCAACTCGAAAAGGCAGTTAACACGTGACCACGTGGTATGGGTTGGAGGATGAGTGGCGCCAAATCCTGTCTAAATGCGAGTCAATTTCACTGCGAATCAACCACTTGCGGTTGGACGACTGAGTAGTGTTCAACCACCGGGTGGAAGGTTTCGCGTGGGAAAATCCCTACCAGATTTTCGTGAAATCTGCATTGTCGATGATTCACAATAAGGATGAAACAGCTGTACAGTGTTTCCCGGATTTTTAATACACCTTGGTTTCACTTACAGGATGAAATCTAAAATAAAAATTCAGCAATGTCCCTACACTACTGAATAGCTTAAGATAAACTACTTAAAATGCGAAAGTTAATGAAGCCGTGGGCAGATGGTACGGCCACTGTGATTTTCCACCAAAAAATGGCAGAAAACCGTGTTTGGGTCACTCATATTCATAAGGAATAAAACTCGAAATAATCGGGCCACTCTACACGGACGATGTATTCTCTGTTTCCCAGTCTGGTGGTGTGAACTTACCTTCGAGGCACGCGCGGGCGGGAAGTCATGTGATTTCCAGAAGAAAAATTCAACCCGAGGAATTAACAACCGGATCGGTGTAAGAGAAAATCGTCATCTTGGTTAAGTGATTATTGTGAGTAAATCCTGGATGTGATATAGCCTTGGTTTATCAGTAGTATGACGGGACAGTAGAACTTGATCAATGAGAGCGGTTTCAGCGTAGCGGTTCATTCTGTCTCGGGTGACATGCGCCCCTTAATAGTGGACAGGTGATAAGTAAAATTTGGCTTTTTAATGACAATAAGGTCTTGATGGTATTTTTGCTGTCAAAGCGCGTTGCGTAAACCAAGGGGAAGACAAATAACGACGACAAGTAACTGTAGATAACGCGATTGATGGCCAGCAGAACCTTTGGAAAACATACAAGCTTTTTCATTTCTAGACGCATTCAAGGCAAGCAGATGCATTTTTACACGAAACGGAGTCCTTTTTTATCCGGTGGCTTATCGGAAGGTGAAATCAGAGTGGCCTTACATCTTATTACGTAACGTAGCAGTAATTAAAGGGTTAGTGAATCAAAAGGTTGTGTTAAATTCTAATTGGATCTGAATGGTAAAAACCAGTTTTGCCAGCTTCGTATCAAAGTGATCCACAGTAGAGAGTTCCAAGCCGCTGCTGTGCACGACATTCGAGATATCGCAGTATATTTTCATAACTGAAACTGTTCGCAAGGTTGCTGAAAACTCCTCGACAGCACACAAGAGATTCAGTTGAGTCTCTCCTGAGAACCAAATTGATTTGAAAATGAGTGCATTTCTCGAAAACAGTCCAATTTGGGTTCAAGTAGAACATAAGGTTGACGGAAACTCGGGGACTGCGCGTACCTGATGAGCCCCAAGGAGAGCGAAACCGGTCGTGAGCTGTCGAAGAGTTTTCAGCAACCTTGTGAGTAGTTTCCTCTAAAATTTCTTTGTTTACTTGTGTCCAGTTGGATCGGACATAATCCGTGGCTAACTTCGATTGATCTTCAGATTTTCCTAGCAATCTTGCGGGCACTCGGTCTCGTGAATCTAGGAATCAGTTCTTGACCTTACTCAGACCCGGCTTGAGTAGCCTCGGGCACCATACT